CTTTGGAGATGAATGAAGGGATGTGAACATGGGATGAGGAATTTGTAGCTGATGGGATCGAATTACGCATATGGGGAATTTTAGCGTTCCTTACTAATTCGTTAGATTTTGGTTGTAAAATGACTTGCATATGCTGAATTGGATTTCTTTTTGGAAATGAACTGAATGGGATCGAATTACGCATATGGGGAATTTTAACGTTTGAATGAATGTTAAAGAGACTCTTCTTTTTTGAGGTGAGCGATTGGAAGGGTTGCTAATTTTAGCTTAACATGAATTGCAGAGCAGAAACAGCAATGGCTTTCGGAAATCAAAGTTAGTTTAGATGAGGCCGATGTTTTGGTACGTTTGAAGAGCCTTCTTTTGGTTCTTTTCTTCTGTTTTTTAGGTTGGTTAGATTCTTAATTATATGAATTCAATGTTGCATCTTTTACGATTTCTAGATCCGGAAAATGGACCTTGAGGCCAGAAGTTTGCAGCCAGGGGTAAAGGCTATGCTACTTGCTAAGCTTCGGGAGTACAAAGCTGATCTTGGGAAACTGAAAAAGGAACTCAAGAGGTTTACATCACCAAACGCTAATCAAGCTGCCCGTGAAGAGCTGTTGGAGTCTGGAATGGCGGATACACATCTGGTAGATCTTGATAATTCAATTTTTACAGTTACCTTCAAATTTAAGCATCACTACTACCTCTTCAGTAATACTCCAGTCATGAGTTGGGTTCTTAGTCTGAAATCCAATTGTGGGAACATACTAATTCAATTGAAATAACATCAATTTTTATTACTTACAAAGAACTTGGAGGAAATGATTTCTATCATGTTAGCTATGTGCCTAGAATTTAGTAACATATAAGTTTTCTTTACAACCTAATCTAATATATTTAGATTAGTCGAGATGCTTGTAAGTTGGCCCAATCACAAACAGATATTATAAAAAAAATCTTAATGTATCTATAGTTCTATACAAAATGTCCAAAGTTTTTATTCAGTCCATGTTTGTTTTTTCAGCCTCTCTTGTCGCTGAAGGGATGATATTTTCTAAGTCATGTTGATAGTCCTATCTTTTCCCCTTCAGTTTCTTTTGCAATGGTTGTTGGCTTTTACGTCTCGATAACTTAAACATGTTTGTGGAGTTGAGTTGCTGGACGCACCTTCTACAGCCAGTTCGATTCACATCATAGGATCAGTCTCATATCTTTTATATAGCCATAGGCCAAACGGATCTCATCATTGGAACATCTGCTCTAATTTTGATAATTAGAAGATATTTGTCTTGCAGAGGTTTAATTGATCGTTTTTGTTACCTTTTCCGCGTTCTTACAGGCATCAGCTGATCAAAGGGAGAGGCTGACAATGTCCATAGAGAGAATAAATCAGTCTGGTGAAAGAATCACAGAGAGTAGAAGAACCATGCTGGAGACCGAGGAGCTCGGTGTCTCAATTCTCCAGGATTTACATCAACAACGTGAAACTCTCCTTCACTCCCATAAGAGAGTAAGTTTTTTCTTGATATTATGTTCTGGCTGACTAGTAAGTAAGTTCTTAGCCACTCACTAATTACTCTGAATAAATCCCATCTTTGATGCCATTAAAATCCTTCAACTTCAACTCACTAATTTTAATTGCCAGCTCTTTTTCCATCTTTGATGCCATTAAAATGCTTCATGTTGCAGCTTTATGGGGTAGATGATGCCATTGATAAGAGTAAAAAGGTTCTGGTCACGATGTCTCGAAGAATCAGTCGAAATAAATGGATTGTTGGGTCAGTAATCGGAGTTCTGGTACTCGTTATTATCCTTATAATATATCTTAAGCTTTAAGATCAGGAAGAGATCTCTCCTTGATCATGAAAGGAGTTGCACTCTTATCATTTGATTTTTCCAATTGTACGATTGGTTGTCGATCATATGTTTGATGTATTTTATTACCGATACCTCGTGTTCATGTCTGTAATCGGACCAAATCTTGTAACTCAATAGCATGTTAACTAATCAATACCAGATAGTAGGCAGCTCTTGATTGTGTATATAATGGTTAATTACTTTCTGTACATGCACTTTAGGAAGTCAGGAGCCATCGTCCATTGATGATTCCATTTTTTCAATTTTTTTGTACTGGAACTTACTATGATATAGTAATTGCACTAGATAGCATAGAGTTAAGGTTTAATTATAGAAGAACTCCTGAAGTATTGGTCCTCGTTTTAATAAAAATGTTCGGAGAAAACATTAAAGTTTGGTTAATATCCTTTTCCTTTCAAATTTTTTTTTAAATATTATTATCAGAAATTGTTTTTCCTACATGTAAATTATTCTAATTTTTCTCAAATAGTTTCTTATATTGAAGCTTCAACGTGACTTTTGTTTCATCTTTTAATTTTATGTCTTTGACTTCGATTTTGTTGATTTAGCATTCATGGTTATTTTTTCCATAAGCTTCTTCTAAATGTATTTTAGTCAAATTAAATGATATTGTCAAAGATAATCAACCGTCAGATTAATTAATCTTTAAAATTAGACAAAAATTAGGTTCTTCGAAAAAAATGTATACACAAGATAGGACTAGTTGTCATTATTTATAACTCAAAATCTTTTCTCTAACCCCGCTGTGTCGCTGAAATGCAATTGTGACGTAGCTCGCCGTTTTACACTCGACGCAGAAGAGAGCCTGCAAACAATTATTTAGTGTATATTTTTGTAAAAGACTTGGAGGACTACGACATTGAGTCATATTTGTAAAATTGAACCAAAATACTCCACAGATTTTGTGTCCCTAAAATGACGGTGTTGAACCTGAAACATTCCAGAAAGGGAAAAAGGCCCAAAATGACCAAAATAGGGAATGGGGGGTTGTGGTGGGGGGCCTCCCTTCCACTCCAAATCCAAGACTTCAAAAACTTTTGGGCCCCTTTCGATGCCTTTGTCGGTTGTCTCAGACTGTGACCTCTTGCCCATTCTTCTCCTTCTTCCCCTCCAAATTACAGCCCTACACGTACCCTTTTCCCCATAATCAATCCCCATAAACTTGCCGCCCAAGACCGAAGATAGCTGCCCTTCACTTCAACTTGAGAGAGAGAAAAACAGAGCAGCGCAGAGCAGAGCAGAGCTGCTGAACTGCTTTAACATTGATTCTACGGTGATTACTGTCAAAGATCTTATCGTACAACTTAATGCTTCAAAAAACTAACCCCTCCCCTTAGTTCCTTTCTTCTTCAACGAAAAACTTCATCTGCTCAGATAGAGCATGCGCATCAGCAGAAGCAGAACCTCTTGGGGGTCTTTGTACTGATTTTTCTGACTGACCCTCGAGTACATTAAAGATAGGTACAATTTCTGGGCCAGCTCTCTTGTGTACTTATTTCCTCAATCGAGACCCACCCCCACGTTGTTTTCTTTGTCTGCGCTCCGTTGCAATCGAGAAAATGATGGGGTTTCTTCTTCTTCTTCTTTAAAGGGAGTTCCCTTTTCCAATTTGACTTTGTTTCTCCATTTGGTGCTCTGATTTAATTCCTCATCGTTTTGGGTTTCTGTGAACACGTGTTGGTGTTGCCTTGTCGGGTTTTGTTTTTTTGAACTATTGGAACTGGTTAGGTCATTTTCTTGCAGATATCGATCTGGGTTTTGTTCTTTTGAAGGTGAAAAAGAAGAAGGAAGCTTCAACGGCTTAATGGGTTAGCTGGTTTTCACTTGCGTAGTCGTTTTATTCTCGTCGTTATTCATTTAGAGAGAGAGAGAGAGGGGGGGGATTATTGAATAGAGAGAGAAAGTGTGGGGAAAGGGGAATAAAAGGTAAGTAAGATAGAAACTTCTTTTGCCCCGCCCCCATTGGATTCCTTCTTTGGTTTTGTGTATATATTTGCATTGGGGTTTCTTTTGGGTGTTTTAATAATCAAAAGCTGAAGAAGAAATGGCAAGTCGATGGTGGGCTGAAAATATACCCACCACCACAGATAGCAGCACCACCAACCCTTATTCGACTCCATTAAAGCAAAGCTTAGAAGCTGCGGATGAAGAAAACAACTCCGGCAGCTATGAGAGAGTTGAACCAGGCACCGGCTCCACCACGCGCCGCCCACGTGGTCGGCCGCCGGGATCCAAAAACAAGATGAAGCCTCCGGTGGTAGTCACCAAGGAGAGCCCCGATGCTCTCCGGAGCCACGTTTTAGAAATCGGCAGCGGCAGCGATATCGTCGAAAGCATCTCGAACTTCGCTCAACGCCGCCAGCGAGGGGTTTCTGTCCTCAGTGGAAATGGGGTTGTCGCCAATGTCACTCTAAGGCATCCGGCCGCCCCTGGCAACGTTATTACTCTACAGGGACGGTTTGATATATTGTCGCTCTCCGGTGCCTTTTTGCCTTCCCCTGCTCCACCAGGGGCTACCGGACTAACAGTCTACTTGGCTGGTGGGCAGGGGCAGGTCGTTGGTGGCATTGTCGTCGGTGCTCTCATCGCAACCGGTCCAGTTATTGTCATCGCTGCTACCTTCACCAATGCCACATACGAGCAGCTACCGCTTGAGGATGAGGAGGCAGCTGCCGGAGACAAGTCCGGAAATAGCCAAAACAATTCAACTTCTCAGAGCATGGGGGATCAGCAACAGCAGCAGCCTTCAATGGGAAATTACAATATGACTTCAAATTTGGTGCCAAATGGTCAGGTTTCTTCGCATGATGTGTTTTGGAGTCCTCCTCGAGCCCCACCTCCATTCTAACAGAGATATACAGAAATATAGAGGGAGAGAATGTGATAGAGGATTGATAAGTTAATTAGATGCTAGTTTTGTTTGAACTTTTAAGAACTGATTAAATTTCTTTTTTCTGCAAAGCATCTTGGCGTATTATCTGTAAGCATATAAAATATCTATGATCTTATGGGATTACTTCTTTCTATATGCATTGCTCTAATTCTCATCTTTGTCAGAATCAATGAATCTATATAGTTTTGTGGGTGAACAAATCGAATTCGAGTTTGGAGCCACAATATTCCCTGATCAGGTACATGCTTTTCCCTGTTTTTTTCAAGTGTTCTATGATGATAAGCATTTATCATTTCATATCTTCTACCATTGAGAAATATATTTGTGCATCACAATCTTCATCAACTTAGACATCTAAAACTCGTTCTTATACTCGTTCTTCATTAGGCGTCATAGTTTCTATATTCTCGAACTATCAACTAGCTAACCGAAGGTCCTTCTACAGAACTTGTAGTGATGGAGGAAGCCTCATCTAGATAGCTTCGGTTAGACGTTTGGTTTGAATGGTAAAGTTGACAAGATCTTTAGATCAACATGTATGGAAAATGACAAAATTGATAGGTTTGATTTGGTCATCTACGTGGGGTTATTATCCAATTGAGTGTTTGAATTTTTTTCAACTACTCTCCACTTGTCTATAAATTGTCGTTTAAAATATAATGTTTTGTGCGGCTCTTTATATAAAGCTCATACGCCATTGTTTTTGGTTTTCCCGAAAAGTCTCGTACCAATGGAGACAGTGTCCATTACTTATATACTTATGATCGGACCCTTAGTTAGCCCATTAGGGAGATTCCTATGAAGCATGGACATGAAATACAGAAAATATTGTGTATTTTTTGAAATCTAGGACATAGATATCGAACGAAAAACAATATCTTCTAGGACATAACTAATAGAATATTCATTTTTACACTAGAAAGAGCTTTAAAGTCAATAGGTTTAAATGCATCATTGATGCGTTCTTTCTTGGTCGAAGCGTAAAGATGTCTACATTGTCTTCTGATTCGGTGTCGTGTTGAATGGTCTAGGAGTTTTAGCTGTTCAAGACAGATTCATTTCTGCTGTAGTTCTTCATTTTAGCATCATAAACTTGCATATTTTTGAATGTGAACTTTTTCATTGATAAATTTGGAAGTCAGTGGAGGTTGGTTTCCGTGGTAGGAAAGGTGTTCCAAGATGGTGGCTCGTAGAGTTGAAAAATATGTCCGTAGATGGAAAGAAATTGCTTCTTTGTTTCCCTTAAAAGCTATCCTTTTGACTTAAAGCCATAGATGTTTCTCTAAGAACACTCAATTTGATTTCAACCAAAACCCATATAGAACGCCCATTACAATGCTCTACACAAGGTTGGTGGATTGCATTTTCAACTCACATCTCCATATAGGAGGTAAATTTTTTTTTACCATGATGCATTGTCGAATGTGAAAAGTACGATGAGTAGATGTCGAGGTTAATATTGTTCTATTCGAGAAGCATGCTTCGGTTGTTGCTCGAGTTTGATAGATGTAGGGAGATAGGACCCAGTTTGATGCACTTAATATTAACTATAGGCTCATTTTGAGTCCTCTGTGCCTGTACTGCCCCAGCTTTCATCTTCTTTTGGTTGTCATGACTACTTCTATGCTTCCGCAGGTGGTTTGCGATAGTTTGTCAGTAGGGTCGACTTCGACGTTCAAGCTTTTCAACCAGAATAGAGAGAGTTCGTAATATCGGGGTCGTGTTGGCGAGGCTGTGGAGCTGCCATGAAAGAATGGATGTGATCTTGGTTTAAAAGCACCCAATGCTATGTTTTGTACACTTATCTTATCTTCATTTCTCTACAAACCATTCGTTCATGTCTCAAATAGCTTTTCTTTTAGTGCTTTGAACTTCTTGGAGTAAATTAGCAAATAATGGTTTTGGTAGCATGATTTGACTTGTTTTAGCCTTTACAGGACTCGTTTGATAATCTCCTAGTCGATTATTTTCGGATTATAAATCATTCAATTATTTAGATTTCGTCATTCTAAACGAAGAAAAATCCAAACAAAATGGATACATCAAGATCAACTACCATAGATAACCAAAGGTTTCATCAACTGCTACATCAAAGGCTGAATTCTCCATAGCGTTATTTGGGTTGCACCCGAAAAACCCGTCTTCTTCCCCGATACAAAACAATGGAGATATCATTTGAGCATCATTAATTTCGACTTGATCAAAATTCGGCAGTTGAGAGAGCAACTCATTTTGATAATCATTTGTGTTCATCACCAAATCATTCAACTGTTTCGAGACTTGAAGCTCTATACATGGGTTCTCGACGACTGCAACGTTGTCCATATCAGCGGTGAAGTTGGCAATTTGGCTCCCTAACATATCTATCTCTTCTTGTAAACTCATGATCTGCAAGAGAAAGATTTGACAAGCTAAGAAAGCGTTAATCATCTACTTAAGTTTTAAAGTTTTAGAACAACCTCTTGTTGCAACGCGAAGATATGTGCAACACAACCATAAGTAGGATCTCGCATGCGCTCGAGAGCTTCATAAGCAACAGTGATGGCAGCGTGGCTACGGATGTGCATGGGGAGGTGCAAGAGAAGCTTGGAGACATTACTAGCACCAAACACTTTATGAACAGCAGCAAAGTGAGAAGTAGCTTCATCATAGGTGAAGAAAGGAGCAAAAACACAGTGATTACTACATTTTCGTCTAAGAAACTTGCAGGCACCACAAGAAGAAGAAGAAGAAGAAGAAGAATAAGAGGTAAGCCCTGTCATTGTCTGAATTATATGATAAAAGTAAGTAAGTACTTAAAAAAGGAAGCAAAAGTTTGATAAAATTAAGAAGAACAGATGTTGGTCTTTATAACCCATCATTTGCCTTCTTCTTTTCTTCTTTTTCAGCTAAAGTTATGCGTATGTGCTTTCCTTTTTGGGGTCTCCTCGGTGGGCTACAATGTCAGTCTCACATTGGGGCAATGCCTTTCCTAATTTGTGCCTTAAAAGACCCTATTTTTGGAAAGATTCTTTATGCAAATTGTGAGACTCGTTCTTATCCGAATATGATCATGGGGCTCAAACACCCAAGTTGATGAAGCGTGTTTAGTTTGTTTGAGCTAATGAATGCATGAAAAAACTCAAATTTGGATACATATTTGATCCGGTAGAAAGTATCCACCTTTTGTTTGTATGAATACATGAAGAAACTCAAATTTGGTCAAGTCCTCAAAATGGTAAGCTTACTTAATCAGCTTCAGACGTTACTCTCACCCATGGTTTAGTCTTATACAAGCTCATTGTATATAATCCCCCATTTACATACCAATCATTTAGTTACAAAATATGTCATAACAATTACAAAGTTTATCAGAATCAAACACTAACTTTATTCCTATACTACAGACCATTTAAGTTATTACTTGAACATGATTCGTAATATTGTTGGAGATTATTTTAATAATCATAGATTTTTCATTAATAATTAAAATTAAATTCCAAACTAATGAAATTCTAAAAAGTAGTGGAGAAAAAAAATCAATAATTTAAAATTCATATAATTATGAAGATTTAAACTTCTAAATTAACTATTTAGGTAGCTCTAATTTTACATAACTTTCATTGTACTTCTTTATCTATTAATTTTTTTTAAAACATGTGAAAAAGATTAAAATTATAATACCTATTAAATTCATACATAAATGAAATTAAAATTATAGTAAACAAATGATTTTTTTTTTTTAAATTCTATGAATTAAAAAATATATTTATTTATTATTTTAAAAAAGCCCCTCAAGTAAATTTCAATTTGCCGACCACCTTTTCATTTATTATAATGCTTATTAGTCAAAATCAATAGATGGGTAGGTCATTTGGCCAATGAAGAAAAAAAAAAAACTCTGGTAACACGGTAAGTCATGCTTTGCCAAGCGTGTTGCCTATGATTGCATGTCGGATGTCTCAGTCATGCTTGTCCAATACGTATTGTTCACATACTCGATTCAAACATCTTTTAATTGCTTTCATGTTAAATAAATTTTTATTAGTGTTGTTGTGTCAATACAAATGTGTGTGTATGATCCGTCATTAAAATCATGTCTACATAGAACTAAAATGTCTCAAAATGTATTATAGAGGGATGTGAGTAGTTGTCAATTCTTCCTACTGAATTTGTTGTTGCATATTCGTTTTTAGCTTATAACATTATTTTTTTTAAATTTGTTTTCAACATATTTTCTCGCTCACATTTTCTAAAACATTTCTCTCAAACGTGACCCAAGACTAGAGCATACGTCGATATTGTCCATAAAATGTAAATTTCACACGACCAACTAATTCGCCGGATTAAAATAAGTGTCACACAATCGCTATCCCGTGGTAGGAATACACCTCATAACATTTAGCGGGTAGTTATTTATTTATCTTCATGTTTTTAATAATAATCTATAATTATCCTTAATTAATTAAGGAAAATTGTGTAAATATTTTAAGCTTAAAAACTAATAGGGTTTGGGTTTGGGTTTGGCTGTTGGCCACTTAATTATTTTCTTTTTTATTTTCCCAATGCAACGCAAAGGCTTGAAGCAGCATAAGTAACAGTGTTTTCCAATAATAATTTCTTCTAGAATAGCTTTCAAACCCGTAATTTTAAAAGTTAGAATTTTCGTAAATAATTTCTCGGGTAAATACTATTTTTGAGTGCTTTATTAAACCATTAGAAACTAATTCTAACATTTATAATCGTAAGAATTAAATTCTAACTTTCTCGTAATTCAAGATCATATTTCTTCGGATGATAAAAATAAAAATGTTTAAGAATTATTTTTAGACTTTGTGTCAAATCTTATAAAAAGATAGATGCATATGGGAAAAATAGTTAGAGGATGGTGGAGGTTGGCTTATTGATTTTCGAGTTTAACTATAATGTTTTTTCTTTAATTATTCAATGTTTTGGTCATAGTGCTCTAAATTCTTCTATACTTATAATATATAGTTTTAAAATGTAGGGTGTCAATCAACCCAACTTGCAGACAACGACATACACCCTAATGAAACGACCCTCGATTGATTGATTGAAACAATTTTTATTTACTTTTTTAATCCTTTTTACCCGACAATGATTGATATATACTACTCGTTTCGTTAAATTTTATAGAATTATAAGTAGTAATAATGTTCTTTAGACATGCAAGAGTGTTATACTAATGATGTATATGTTATTTGTAAGATCTCACATTGGTTAAAGAGGGAACGAATCATTTTTGATAAAACTGTGAAACCTCTTCCTATGCAAAACTTTAAGGAAAAGTCCAAAAGAAAAATAAAAATTCTAAAAAGAACTGTATCTGTTAACGGTGGGTTTGAGTTGTTACATTACCTATGAAAATCATGTCGGGATTGTATTTTAGGGTTTGAATGGATCGAGAAAAAAAGAAAAATAGAGAAATTAGGAAATGGTTTGTGACCAAAAAAGGGGTTGCCCTAACAATTCACTTTAAAGACTATGAGGTGGGTATAATTTTAATTAATGGATTGAGCTATGTTCAAATTGATTATTTATTAACAAAATATTTATTCACGGGTTACATTTAAATTTTTTTTTTAAAAAATAAAAATAAATATAGTACATTATCTATGTAAGAATAAAAGATATGGATGACATATTAATATTTTAAAACGTCCATTACTAACTTAGAAGAAGTCGAGTGTGGCTCGTGCGCTCAACCCCATTGTGGGGCCCACGACTAAACCGAGGGACAAAATAGTAGAGAGTAGAAAGAAAATGAAATGGAATAGAATAGAATGGGTTAGGGTATGAAGAAGGAAGGCTGAAAATGAACCTATCCTTATCCCTTCTTCTTCACCTCTTATTTGGCTGAAGATGCAATCACACTTCAATTATTTGGTGTACATCCAAAATTGGTATGCACAAATGGGCCTCCCATACAACTTGTGATTCAAATCGTACTCTTTTACTTTTTACAGTCTTTGTTGGAACACCGCCCGGTGTTTAGCTCTAATACCATTTGTAACGTCACAAACTCATCACTAGTAGATATTGTTCTCTTTAGGCTTTCACCTTCGGGTTTTCCCTCAAGGTTTTTAAGACACTTCTGCTAGAAGAAATGTTTCGTTCCTCTCTCCAACCAACGTGGGATCTTACAATAAACATAATGATTTTTTTCGGGTAACAACATGCACATAATAACGTTAAAAAAAAAAACTACACGTAAAATGGACCAATGGGTGAGCTTGGTTTCACTCAGGGTGTTGTGGGTGTTATGATAATTATGAAATACCCAAATTTGTTTATGGAGAAGAAAGTCCCTTTAAAGCCAACCACTAAGGTTCTTCGAAGATCAATTTACAAACCTTGTCCTGCTGCCACGTGTCCTCTCAGCTCATCTTCACTGTGTGGCTGCTGACAGTTCTTGAAACTCATGGTTAGGCCATCATTCTTGAATGCAATGAAGCCTTCATCCATGCTTCTATAAAGCCTCCCTTACTGCCCTCTGCCGTTTCTCGTCCAAAGATCCTTCTCCAAATTCAGCCTTCTTCTCAACTTTACTCTCCCGTCACTCGTCGAGTTCGATGGCTGCCTCCGCTGCCTCCGTCGGAGTCATCAACCATGCACCCGTGAGTCACTCTTACCCTTCTCCGATCTCGATTCCCATTCCGCGCTTCTCTTTAGCTTAACTTGATAGATTATACTAAAAAAAAGAATCGCCTTTTTTATATAAATAAAGAGGAAATGACATGATTTAATCTTGATGTTGATGTGTGTGTTTCAGCTAAGCTTGAATGGCTCTAGCTCGGCAACTTCAGTTCCGAGCTCAGTGTTCTTCGGAAGCAGCTTGAAGAAAGTGGTGAATTCGAGAATTGCCAGCCCAAAGGCCTCGCCAGGCAGCTTCAAGGTGGTGGCATCGGAC